CTGAGTCAACCCTGAGCCGGTGAGATTTGAACCGCTGACCTGCTGATCTAGCAGTAGCCTGCAGTGCTGCATTTAACCACTGCGCCACCTTTACAGCCCTCTCTAAGCAGTTTACAGAGTCAACATATTGCCCCCAATTGCAGCAAGCTAACTCTGGGCGATGGAAACGGTTTTATATTCCAGGAGTGGGATACTCCATTCATAGAGGATCTTGAATTCAGTATGACCCATGCTTTCATAGCAAAAGGCATCAGCGCATGCTTTGGAATTGGCATATTAAAGCATAGAATAGTCTCTCCCAGTCTGATCTCCAGCAGCTACAGTGTTGTAACGCAACTTTCATGAGAGCTAGCAAGATGAAAGTTATAATATAAAGGTGAAAGTTATAATTCCACCAAAGATTAGTCCTCAACCTACAATCACAATTGAGCCCAACATTTCTGATGTTACCAAGTTACATGAGTTTTGCCCCATTTTATGACCTTTCTTGCCACCATTGTTAAGTGAACCACTGCAAGATGACATGACCCTGGGACACTGCAACCATCATAAATGTGAGCCAGTTGCCAAGCAGCTGAAATTTGATCACATGACCATGGAGATGCTGCAATGGTCATAAATGTGGAAAATGGTCATAAGTCATTTTTTTTCAGTACTGTTGTAACTTTGAACAGTCGCTAAGCAAAGTGTTGCATGTAGAAGACTACATGCTATTTGTGGATAACAACAGATTGAGAAGCCTTCTGATGACTATATTTTGATTAAAATTGATGGAAACTTTCTTACTGGATGTCCAGAAAGTAGATTTAAATATGGCTTTCCAGGTAATTAAAAATATGAAGACTCTTCTGGTTTGCTTGCTTGCTTAGTCCACTTTTCTTCTAGGAGCTCAGAGAAATATAGGGTGGAATTTCATCTCTTCCCCCACTCCTCACAATTTTGTAAGTTGGTTTGAATTGATGAATAATGGCTATATTCATAAAACTCTTAACTTAATGGTTAGCAAATAACTTCCTAAAGGCTATGCATGCCCTCTTTTTTTGACAAAAAACTGGCCATTTTGGGGAGGTCTACAGATGAAAAAACTTTTTTAAAAAAATTTGCCTCTTCAAAATCTTGGTGCATCTGATACTCTGAAAAATACGGTACTTGGAAAGATACCTGATCCCCACTGCTTCCTTAGAGGAAGTATAGAATTTGGTAGTTGACAGTGACTATATATAGAAAGTCAATGCTATCAGCTACATGACCCTAAGATTGTCAGACTCCAAAAACCAAGAAAGACACACTATGATCCTTCCATGCAGATTCTGTTATTGTTCCTTGTCAGTAGACAGAATCTTGCCAAACGAAAAGTATGCTAACACCTTCATAAGACATATACTCTGGGAACTATTTTGGAAAGAGCTGTCTTTATCCTCTTTCTCTCACGCAGAGGATACGGTGGTGCAGAGGTTTAATGATGCTGGATGTGCTGAGCAATTGACAGCACTTGGGTGATTTGAGTCCAACTCCGCAGGACAGGATGAGCTCCCGTCTCTTGTCCCTAACTCTTGACCACACAGCGGTTTGAAAGCATTTTTTGTGAGTAGATAGATACCATCATTTTGATGGTGGAAAACTGCTGGCTGTGTTCTACGCGGGGAGTTGGCATTGGCACTGGATCTGCCCGGATGTGATTGGCAGAGGAATGGTGGAGAGAAGTCCTGGATGAATTTGACTTTGTCTGAGAAGCTGCTGGCCAGTTGGTGTGAAGCTAGTTCGCCCTCTTCTGGTGTATCAGTGCAACAACCGGACTAGTGACTGTGGGCTGCCAGGATGTCTGTGGTGTGCATAACATTGTAGCCTCCCTGACCTTGTATGCCATACGCTAAACAAACAAATAAATAATTCTCTCACACAGACTATTTGAACAGATTTTGTCTCTTGCTCCTCCTCTCCTCAGAATCTGGACCATCACAAAAGATGGAGCCTGAGATTCAGTATTGTTCAGGTAGAGTTTTTATATTGTAAAGATTTTGTTTGGATTGAGACAAATATTTTGTTAAGTCGTTCCAGCAGCACATCACATTATTTGATCAGATTTTGACTGAAGACTCCCTTGCTCCACTACCTTACTCCAGAGTACACTGATTTATAAAACTGAGGTTTGATTTGGCATTTCTCCCTCCCTCCCTCCCTCCCTCCCNACATTGGCTGACCTTGTTACCATGTCCTATTCCAGCCAGTCCCCAATGGCTGACCTGTTGCTATGTCCTCTTCCAGTTCATGAATATTCTGACATATTTCCCCTCCCCAACCCTTCACATTAAATACATTCCTTATGCAAATACAGCTTATGGGGGCTCTTCCAGAGAATAATTTAGAGGCTAACTTTCCTTCTGAAGATTGTGGTGAAGAGGAAAGAGAGGGTTCTCAGAGTATGAATTAGCTCTGTGATTCTCAATAGACACAATAATCACTCATATACACCCATGTAAATTCATACCAACATTCTATTTAAAATTTGCAAATCAAACACAGCCATCTGTTCTGGTTTTGGGGGGGAGTGGGAGAAAAAGAAATAAAACCACTTAGAAGTGAGAACTTCAGCATATAGTTGTTGACAACTACAAAAGGCAGAACTTTCTACTTTGTGATCTGACTCAAATATTGAACTTAGCCATGGTTTGCTTTCTTAAGAAGTTAGCAAGTTAACGGGCTAGAATAGTGAAGGAAGAAACTTTGCTGAATGTCACTCGTCTTGGTTTCTTGCCATTAAAAGACTTCTTTCGGGCAGCTCTGCTTCGCTATTCCATTTATTCTTCAAAGCATTGTTTCCCGGCTGGAAGAATCCTCATCGGGAGGCATTTTCCTCCCAACAGTAGTTAACAGTGGGCAAGATTATTTCCAGCTTCTCCTCCGTGATTTCTACTTCTTCTCCATGACCCTGGGACATTTTTGAAACTGTAGCTCTAATTGTAGCAAATAGCTAGAAAGTATATTGGAACATATACAGAATATCCTTTCCCCTCCAAAAACAGGTAATCACAACTAAGGAAGAATAGAAAAGTCTTTCCTAAAAATCACAGAGTCCAGGCAGTTTTGTATCCAATGCTTGTTCTTTCAAGGGACATCTTTTTACCATTACAAATCTATATTGCTCCTATTGTGATTAGGACGTTTCACTTGTTTCTTTGCAATATGCCCCCCCCACCACCACCAAAAGTTTCTAAATTTTACATATTAAAAAACAAAACGCCAGCAAAGAATGAAACTCAGAAAGCATTAGCCTTCAGTGATAAAATCTGAGTTTTCACCCAGAAGAGCAGGACATACGCAATTCTCTAAACATGAATATTTGTATTCATTGTACATTATACATGAATACTGTTATTCATGTTTTATTCAGCACTTTCTTTTTTTCCATTTTTTTTAAAAAAAATGCAACAATATTTGTAGGGCCGGAGAAAAGCAAGCCCCACTGGGCACCCGGATGCAAAGCAAGGAATGAACTAAAATCCAAGCTCTACAAAGGAAGCCACATAGATCTGGTGTGCCAAAAGGAAAAAAATAATGTCTATGACATCTTAAAAATAGTTTTATTATTACCACTGTAGGTCACAGCCCACCTCAAGAAGTCTGCCATTTCCCCTTCTTATTTCTCAAAAGCATCAATTAGCTTTTAAAAGACTCTCGTCCCTTTTATATTGCAAACCATCTACTCAGCAGAGCAACTTGCCATGTTTGACAGATCTACTGATTAGAAATGACCCCTTTCCAGAAGAAAGATTCCCTGAATTCAGAGGCACTTAATTCTAAAGAGATACAGTACAGTAAATAAGGTGGCACTGATGCATAGACATCCATTACAGCCTGGTCCTCCCGCTAGAATATAATCAGTCTTATCAAATCACATGTCAACTCACTTAACAAGTACAATAGTCACGTTATAATTGCTGGGAATTAACTGTCTGGCCATCCACTTTGTTGCCAATGTTTTGCCCGCCCCCCCCTCCAAATTCTAAGTTAGCAAAAAAAAAAAAGAAAGAGCTAAGAACTAAGAAAAAGAAACGCCGTCCAACCAGCTACCCCTTCAGCAATCAACTTCAAAGTGTGGATGAATCCAGACAACACATCAAACCCAAAAGTTAACAAACCCGAAAACAAAATGGTATCGGGTCTCCTGCCGGAGCAGAGGGTTGGACTAAAAGACCTCCAAAGTCCCTTCCAACTCTATTCTGATTGATTGGATCCAAACCGGTATATTTATTTATACACCACTGCGAAATGGACCCAAATAAACATCTAAAGGAGATAAGATTGAATCATCCACACAATGTACGGTTTCCAATAACACGCTAAGCCTAAACTATTGCCCGGTCCATTTTAACGGTAGTCCGGCATGTTGCGCGAAGCCAAACTAAGAGTTAGCGCAGCGCTAGTCGGGCGCGCTTTCATCATTCCGCCCGGGGGAGTCTGTGATTCTCCACCTGGAGCCCCCTCTCTTCCCTTTCCCAAGGACACGCCTAGCCCGAAGTCCCGTCGGAGCAGAAATCCCCTTCTCCTGCGCGCCCCGGACCCTGGGAAAAGCCGGCTCGAAAGGGCGACCCAGCCCTAAATAGCCGCCTTGGGGGCAGGGGGGGGGGCTCCCAGATCAGCTGGAAGGAGCCGCGTAGCAGACCCCAAAGCGAGCCCGAAAGTGCGCGCTGGGCTGGCGGGCCACGCTGCCTCCTCTCCCCCGCCTGCTTCCACCCAGGGTCAAGCCTGGCTAGAAAAAAAGTAGGGCTGGCATTTCTCAGGCAGGTACCACCACCTGCCTTCGGAGCCTAAGCCAAAAAAAGAAAGAAGGGGAAAGAAGCGGGGGGGAGAGAAGTGGAGACAAGTGTCCCGGTTCGCCTCGCCTACCTTTCCAGCCCACCTTCCAAGCCGAAAGCCGTTGAGACGGGATCAAGAGCAACCTCGCGCCAGTTTGCTTCTTGGATCCAAAGGAGGGAGCAGGGAAGAGGGGGGGAAAAAGCCGTTTCCGACGAAGCGCCCCCTCCTTCCTTCCCTCCCTCCTTCTTTCTTTCTCTTTCTTTTGGCCTGCCCGTCTGCTAAAAGCACCCTCGCGCCCACTTCCTGGTTGCGTCTTTACTTCTCCCTGCCTGCAGTTACGTGTGTCAGACTCCCAGCGCGGTGCCAACGCTTTTAACTCGCCTCTCTTAAACCAAGCAGGAACCTGCCTCGGCACGCAAAAGCGGACATGCTGGGCTCTTGCGCAGCGTTTCCCTTTGCTCCGCAGGTCAGGAAACTCACCTGAGGTCGATCTAGGCTCCTTTTTTGAGGCAGGGGTCGGCCTCGATCCTTCCAAGAAGGATGCCAAGGGTGGGAAGGGGCTTGCCCGTGCAGGGGAAGCAAACTTTTGCACGGGTTCACTTACTACTCTCCTTCACGGCTATGTATTTTTTTTAAAAAAAGTGAAGCCACTCCCCTGGGTCTGGCTGCCCACTTCCTTCAACAGCTCAGAGAAGGGGAGAGGGGTGTGAAACTGGGGCATGAGTGTTTGGGGAGCAAAAGGCCTCCAGTCACTTGAGACCTAGGGAGCAAAGAAGCAAGTGAACCAAGCCAGGAGAGTCTGCTATAGTCTGGATCCAAGAGGCAGCTGCTGGCTCTCGGATCTGCCTGCTGTTAGAGGCACCCCTGATTGTCAAAAGTCAGTCTAATATTCAAGCTTGCCTCCTGCACGATATTCCAGTGCTGTCAAATTTCCCAGCAATGCCTGTGAAAATGAAAGCCCTCGAGCCACAGCAGGGTGGAAAACAATGGAGGAGGATTTGTGCTGAGCTAACAGCCTCCGGGCTCTACAAAGAGTAAAGATACACAATATGTAGGGGGCATGGAAAATACGTGATCTTCTTTCTCATGATTGCTCACCCAATGCAAAGGAATGGAATAGGAAAAATGGCTTACAGTGGTCACAATGAATCAAACCTTTCTAGAAGCTTGTTCTTTCTGGAATAAGAAACTTGCAAAATGTTTAACCCGAGAAAGATGGAAAAAATATAAAAGAAGAAAAAAGAAGCAGCAAAGGAATGTCTCCTCTGCATATAACCCAAAAGTCTACATCCTGCCCGAAACCTGGATCTTCAGATTTCTAGCAGAAGAAGAGCCAAGCATGTTCACAATAGCACTCAATTTCTGGTTCCATCGTTTGATGTGATGTTGCCAGCGCTTGCTTAGCCTCATCTCATCTTACAAAAGCTAAACTGGGCTGGACCTGGACATCTTTTGGATGGGAGAGCACCAGGAAAACCCAGAGATTCATACAAGAGTGGCAAATGGTGGGGAGGAATATCCTGGAAGACGACAGTGGCAAACTATTTTGCAGAAAATGGTAGGTGCTTGTCCTTGTAATCACCAGCATTGAATCTTGGCTGCTTCTTCTTCTTCTTCTTTTAACCAATGAGATGGGACAGGGATAGACAGTGGCAACAACATGGCACTGAAAGAGTGGCAAAAGCATTGGCCTGGTTGACCATAGCAATGCCAAAGAAAGCCTCTGTTCTCATCCAGACATTCCACAAACTCCCCCAGGCTGTGTTCACGTCATATACTTAGCCTGGTCACTCTATAGCCCATTTGCACAATACTGTACATTCAAACATAAACTATTCAAACACTTTGAATCTGAACAATACATTTTCTTCCCCCCCAACCAAGGCTGAACCCAGCTGCCTCTTTACCTGACCCACTTATGTGAACATAGTCATAGAAACTGCACTTTGCTGGTTCTGCAGCATCAGGCTGATGGATCTGTCTCCCAAAATAGCATAGATTCAGCAATACCTCTGTTCCATTATGCCTCTCAGATAACTCAGCACGAGTAAGCGAAGCCACCCCATGGCAGGGGAATTTTTGCTAAACCTACCCTCTTCAGAAAATAAAACTAGGAAGTGAAGCATGCTACATACCAATTCTGGTTACAGAGTGGTGGTTGTGGATATTTTATTTCCTCTAAAGTGGCATAAACTTACTTTCACAAGTATGTGGCCATCTGTAAAATAAACCGAGGCATGCCAAGTGAAAGGAACACCCATAGAAAGAAGTAGATAAATATTAAGAGAAAGGCTGAACAATTTTAAAAGGATTAAAAATAGCAAACCCAACAAGAGGCGCCCGCCCACACAACAAAAAATCATTTTGCTCATACTGCCCCTGTGTGGCCATCCCTTGCAGGATACAAATCGTTCTTCAGAAATTATGGCTGTATCCAAGCTGGTATCAGAGTAGCAACAGTACTTAGACTTATAACCCCACAATGCTTTACAGCTCTCTCTAAGGCAGCTGACAGAGACAGCATATTGCCTCCCAACAATAAGCCATAGGACACACTTTTTTCCACTTGCTGCAATTCTAGTAACTGTGTAAACATCTTTGTAAACATCAAGGAGAAAAGCAATCTAGAACTAAGGAGAAATCTCCTATCAGTTACAATAATTAATCAGTGGAACAACTTGTCTCCAGAAGCTGTGAATTCTCCAAAACTTTTGTTTTAAAGTTTTAAAGAAGAGATTGGACAACCATTTGTTTGAAATAGTACAGGTAGTCCTCAATTTATGACTGCAATTGAGCCCAAAATTTCTGTTGCTAAGTGAGACATTTGATAAATGAGTTTTGTCCCATTTTACAACCTTTCTTGCCATAGTTGTTNGTTCTCAAGAACCTTTCAGAACCTGCTGAATTTCATCCCTGCTTAGGAGAGGCATCTAAGGTGACCTGCTAACCATGAATTTATCCAGGATTATCAAGGTTCCAATACATGTTTGATCTGGATCAGGGTAGAGATGGTATGATCAGAGATTCAGTGGGCTGTAACATCCACTGATAGATAGATAGATCATTCTCTAATCGCTTTAAGGTTGACTTGTGCCACCAATCTATGGGGGGGGCAGGAGGGATCTATTTGATTGGTCTGCCTATGGTTTCCAGGGGGCCCTCGGGGAGTTTCCTGAGCCTGTGCTTGGCTTTAGGTGCCTGGTGAAATGAGGGGATGGGTAAGATTGTGCCTGAGTGATCTCTCCCTGATATTGATATAGGGGAGTTCCTGAGGAAATGGAGTGGAACAGAAGACTCCTAGAGTGTTGCTGATGGAAAACAAACATGGATAACAGCTCATATCTGAGCTTATTCCATTACAGTAAGAGTAGCAAAATATTAACATTTCTCCACTCTTATTGTGGCCTGCAAGCAGCCAGCGGAGCTAGCAGTAGATTCAGGCAGTGAGGAGGTTGGGAAGCAACATGGGCCAGTCCTGGAGTCTGGGGAAGGTTCTGATGAAGGCTCTGTGTCGGAGGCAGAGAGCGGGCCAGAGCCATATATCAGTTATCAGCTGCCCTCCGAGTCAGACATCAGTGAGGGAGATGAACAACTGGAGCCTGTTCCCAGTGTGTGCTTGTGCAGAGTTGCCAGACGAAGGGAACAGCTAAAAAATAGGGATCATCTTGGGAGTAAGGCCATAGGTGGATGATGAATAGCCCCTCCCAGAGGAAATAAAAGAGGAGCAAAAGGGGTTTGGAGTTTGCAGGAGACAATTAGTTCACTTAATTTGGTTTGTGACTCTCTGAGACTCCTTGCTACGTTTTGCAGATATCGGCCTGGCAAGCAAGATAAGGTCTATGACTGTAAATCCTCCCTTGAAAGATTTTGCTGGATGTGAATGAGCAGAATTTAGAGTCAGTTAATAAAAGGACTTTTTGTCGAGACCAAGAGGTTGCTTCATGCTCTTGGGAAGCCTGGGTCAGAACAACTCTGTATTTGGGACCTAGACTCTTGTTGGAGAATGGTGAGGTAGATAAACAATTACATAATCACTGTGTTGAATTTTCCAGGCAATTGGAGATTAAAACCATTGAGGTCAGCTCAGAACTAGATGTCAATACTGGACAACTTTTGCAGATGTGACTGAATTGGTCTCTGTGATTGTCTGATATCTGAGATGGCGACTCTCAAGGAAATGATCATAATTCTGTCATATATATATGGCCATAGGCTGTATTTCCTGTACAATATGTGGACGTTGTTGCTTTTAAAATAAAATAGTCCCTGTTAGGGCTATAATCCTATATATATATATATATATAT